TCACAGCCTTGAGATCAGACCTGAGTTGAAACCAAGAGTTGGATACTTAACCAACCGTGCCACCCAGGAGCCCCTATAAAATCTTTTCTGTGAACAGTGTGTGTTAAAAAATTTGGTGCTGCCCAAAGTTTGACTGTTCTCTTAGGTTCTGGGAGGGAATCTATACCTGATAGGATTATTTTTGCTTAGTGTGCTTGGGTTGGGCGAAGGTAGTTGGGAGACTGGCTGTATAAATAATCTTAGGATAGGGATTGGTGCACCAGAAAGGCCAACCATGTCATTCAGGGTAGGCTTTGGTCCCAGTGGTATTAGTTAACCTGGAGACTGAGTTCAACCACCTGGGCTATATTAGTCACTTTATTTTGCCTGTGTAATGCATCTTCAGTTAAAACTCTGGAAACTGAAGCTGGGGTGAATTTCCCTGGTTAGCAGTACTCTGTGTGTATTATCACACATAGATGCCAGGAAGGTAATGTGTTCTGATTCCATGAGAGAGGACTCTTGGAGGCTCTGTGTTTGTAAGCCCCCTAGACTCTGCTCTGAGTTTCTTCTTTTGGCTGATTTTAATCTGTATTAAACCATAATAACCTTTACGTGATAAATTGTAATTAGTCATCTCTTGTTATAAGCTGTAATCATGATTATAATAGCTTTCAGTAAAGTTCTATGAGTCTTTTTGACAAATTATTGAACCTGAGTGGTTTTGGAAACTGCCCAAACTTCCAGTTGGTTGTAGGAGAAAGGGCAAAATTAAGGCCTGTTCCGAATTAAGGCCTGTTCCTTCAGACTTTGTAGTTGCCTAATTCCAGATGACATGTTTTATTTTGGGTATATACCTAGGAATAGAGTTGCTGCATCACATGGCAGCTCTACCTTTAACTCTTGAAGAACTACTGAACTGTTTTCATGATGGATGTATCATCTTACATTCCTACTGGAAACATAAGAAGGTTCCAGTTTCTCTACATCTCAGTGACACTTATTTTTTGTTTTGTGTTTATTTTTGATTATAGCCATCCTGATGAGTATGGAGTGATATCTTGTGGTTTTGATTTGCATTTCTCTAATGACTAATAATATTGAGCATCTTTTCATGTTCTTATTGGCCATCTGTATATATTCTTTGGAGAATTGACTCTTCAGATCCTTTGCACATTTTAAAATTAAGTTGTTTGTCTTTTTGTTGATTTCTAAGAGTTCTTTATGTATTCTGGATATCAGGCCCTTACCTTATATGGTTGGCAAGTATTTTCTCCTATTTTCTCTTCTTGCTTTTTCACTTTCTTTCTAATGTTTTCAAAGCACAAAGCTTTACATTTTGTTGAAGTCCAGCTTAACCTATTTTTCTTTTTGTTGCTGTGCATTTGGTATTTTATTTAAGAAACCATTGTCTCAGGGTCACAATGATGGACACCTGTGTTTTCTAAGAGTTTTAGCTCTCATGTTTAAGTCTTTGATCCATTTGAGTTTAATTTTGTGTGTGAGGTGGAATCACAATTTTATCCTTTTGCATTTAGAAAGCCAGTTGTCTCAGCATCATATGTTGAAAAGACTGTTACCAATTACTTCTCATTATTAGAGTTAAGTGTTAAATTCAAAAGAATCAAAGAGCCCAATTTTATAATATTCTTTGGTAATGTGTTCCAGTTTTCTCTAAGAATTATTTTTAAAAATACTAACTTAAAGTTTCATTTGCCTTTTATCTTAATGAAAATTGATAGTTTTTTTATATGTTATTCTTGAATATTCTTTAGAAATTTAAAAAAAGTAAACAAATGATCAGAATTAGCAATATCTTTGGAGGCAGCTTTTATAATTCTGGAAAATAGACTCATTCCTTTTATAATATTTTATGATACTTTTACATAGTACATTTTGAAATTTTTTGTCAAAAAATTTTTTTTGAAATTTTTTGTTTTTTTTCAGCTTGTAAGTGTATCTTCATGATCTTTTTTGTAACGATTTATTGTATTTCTTTCCTTCAACTTTTGAGTTTAAAAATTCCAAACTTTGAAAAAAGTTGAAAAAATAGTACATGAATATCAAATTGCCTTTCCTCTAGATTCACCAGTTTTTAATATTCTACCACAATTGTGTGTATTTTCTCTTTTCCATCTCTCTGCTTGATATTGTAGACATCATGCTTCACTTATAAATTATTTCATGTATATCTCCTAAAAACAAGGATATTCTTTTACATAACTATGATGCCATTATTACTCCTAATAAAATTAATATTGCCATTAATAATATTATCAAATATACACGATATATTCTTTTTTTTTTTTTTCACGTCTTCTCAAAGTGTTTTTTTATGGCTCTATTTTCCTTTTCAGTGTTCAGATTTAAGCTTCAGTCAGGGATCACACATTACATTTAGTCTTTCTTTTTCTTTTCTTCCTTTAATGGAGAATAGTCTCTTGGCCATTTTTTACTTTTCAGGATGTTGACTCTTTTTTAAGATCCCATGTCCCTTTTTTGTATATTTTCTACCATTTGGATTTGTCTGATTGTTTCTTCATGATTAGATTCAGGTTAAACAATACTATCTTGGTGATAAAGATGCATATTTTATAGTTTGCTCAGTGATTTCCAGGAGATTGAACAACAAAAAAGGAATATTTCATTCCTTCTTCTTTATGCCACATCAACCCAATTAAATAAAATTGAGGGAATCAAAGAATCTGCAGTTATTGGGAACATCAAACTTCAAAATCTTGACCTGATGTTTTTCATACTTTGGCAAACTTAGTTTTTTTAAGTTATCACTTTGATTATAAGAAATGCTAGTCTACTAGAAGAGCACCAGTCTGGATGGTAGGAAATGGGTGCATAAGATATGAATTGTTTTACTCATTTGTTTATTTAAGAAATGCTGTTGATCATTTCCTCACATCATACAGTTGCTATGTGTGTGAGAACTGGATTCCAGTTTTTATTGCATTTGGCCATTAGGATGTCATTTACTTTTTACAGAGTAGGTAGAGTAGTAGAAACCTCATTATAGTCATTTGAAGAATAAAATAATGTAGTGAAAGTAGTAACACTAAATGGATACCAGTCCTTAGCTTAGTTGTAGAATTGAGGGAATTTCTCTTTTCTTTTTTCTTCCCCTTCCCACCTTCCCTTTTCTTTTTCTTTCTTCCTTTAAAACCTAGGCTGATGGTGAGGAACTGCTAGAGAGGTTGAGACACAAAAGGAGAGGAATAACTAGCATCGTAAGATACTGGAAGATGGGAATGAGAGAACACAGGTGGAAGGATAAGCTTTAGATAGGCAAAGCCATACCATTTGATTTAAGAGGAAACGTATCCAAATGGGTAAGTTAAGGTGTGTAAGGGGAGAGGGCTAGGTACTTGAAGGAGTCAGGTGGACTTTATTTTTAGCGATATATGAGTTAATTTCATCTGCCAAGAGTGAGTTTAGGTAAGAAATTTGAAAAGGGATGAGGGTTTGTAGTTGACCAAGGATAAGTAAAAGAATTAATGAGTCATTTTGATAGCCCGAGAATGGATTTAATTGACCCAGTTCTTCACTTCTGCATTTTTCTCTACCTGATTTTCCCCATATGAAGAGGTTGAATTGAATTGTGTGGAAGTGGGGTTGAACTGAAGATTAGAGGTTTGAAGGAGTTTGGGGGTGAAAGGTAAAGGGGGGGGGATGGGAATTTAGGATGCTAATGAGAGGGCAGTGAAATGATTGGTAGTCTTTGGAGAAGAGGAGCATGTGTGCAGGAAGAAATGATTGACTCAGTAAAGTAGAGGGATGGGGCATGGTTTGCTTCGATAAGGTCAAAGAATAGATAAGGACTAAAAGGTTATAGCCAGAGATAAATCGATGCTTAGTTTCAGAGTTGGAATAAGTGTGAGTGGTGATGAGGTCCAGGTTAGGGTCCCTGGAATGGAATAGTGGGACGAATGCAGTTGTATTTGTTTAGGGGAAGAATAGTTGAGGTACGCACATCATATTGATTGTGCCTTGAAATTGCCCAGGGTAATGACAAGATTTGTGTTGGTAAGGTAGAAGGATCTTAGAGCTTAAGGCTTCATTGATTACGGAAAGTGAGGAAGAAATGGGTTCAATGAAGAACATTATATTCTAGCACAGCCAGATAGCATACCTCTCAAAGAGAAGTGGATTTTATGCAAATGTGGAGGAGTTTTAGCCTAGAAGCAGCTAACAGAGGAGCTAGGAGAATATGGACTCTCCTCTCTCTGTTGTGTATGTAGGGTGTTAGAGAAATCCATTAGATTGGATTTTATAGAGCAAGTAGTTCCAGCAAGAGAAATGAAACTTTATACTATTAATGACTGGGGTGGGAGTGCAAGACTATAGAATTTTTTAAAAATGAGAGCATGAGGGTTTCTTTTCTTTCTAAGAGATTTTATTTATTTGAGAGAGCGAGAGAATGAGGACAGAGCATAAGCAAGGGGTGTGGCAGAGGGAGAGGAAGCAGGCTCCCTGCTGAGCAGGGAGTTCCAAGACCTGAGCAGAAGGCAGACAGATAACTGACTGAGCCACCCAGGCACCCTGAAGGCATGAGGATTTCAAAGACCCGAGTGGAATTGATTGGAATAAGAAAGAAGCAGGATGATAAATTGAGGTTTGAAAATAGAGTAGAATATTGAGATAGCAGTTTGAAGACTCACCGTGATGGGGGTCCCTGTGTAAAATACAGATTATGGAAACCAAACAGTGGTATTTGCTTCATTTTGAATGGGGGAAAGGATATTAGTGAAATTACTGAAATGTAATACATTTAAAAATGATAAAGATAGCTAGCCTGACAATTTTATACTATTAAAAATGAAAAGTGGTTAATTCTGACTTGCTTGTAACAATGTGTCCACTTGGTGTCGCTGTGGCTTCATGTTTAGTTATACAAATAACTAGGTATAGGGGCTTTGTGTCTGTGGAGTCAATATTACATGGGTCTTCTGTCTGCTTATTTTTCCTTTTTGCAGTGAATTTTGCTGATATCACTTTCTGTTTATTTTTAGGTACAGCTATTTATCACCACTGCAAATAAAGCAGATACCTATTCCTAAACTGGCGGCTCCAAACTGTCTTGTTATTACCTGGGTGACCAATAGACAGAAGCACCTACGTTTTGTAAAGGAAGAACTTTATCCTTCTTGGTCTGTTGAGATAGTTGCTGAGTGGCACTGGGTAAAAGTAAGTTGAAAAAGTAACTTATTTGTTCATATAGTGTGACATATAAGTCACATAAATGTAGCATCTAATTTTTAACACTTAACATGTCACTGCTCTATTCCTTCAAAACAATCTATTTAAAACTTTTACCATACTACGTTTTTTCTTTTTGATGCTAAATACTTATATCTTCTTATTATCAAAGGCTCTTTACTTTTTGTTCTCTTTTTGTAGTAAAGTCTCAAACTGCTGGCTTTAGGAAATATTTGATTCAGGGAGCAATAACTGGATGACATTCTAAAAAGCTCTGATGTCTGTAGTTTAAAAAACAACAAAAAAACTTCGGAGAATCTGTCAGTAAACATTGAAATAGTGTTGTCCTTCATCTTCTTGCTCTTTACGCATCCACAATTTTGAAAAGTCACCCTTTTTGAGTTCTTTCCTGTTTTTTTTTTTTCTTTTTTCTTATGTTGCTGGGCATGGGAGGGAGAATAGCTAACCCAGCACAGAAGAGGTGGAAAGAACCAAGAACCTTACGTACTTTAAATTTTAACTTAAGTCCTCAGTGTCTTATGTGCCGCTAGGCCTCCTTTTGAAAGAAGTAACTCAACTCTTGGATTGGTTGAATGATCTTTAGTATCTCTGTTTACTATAAGAACCAAAAAATACAGAAAAATAAGGCATCAGTTCAGAGTCCATTAGACATCCGTTTAAAGGTGCATTGTCTACTTGATGAATTTTGCAAAAGCCCTCCTACGTTTTAAAAAGATAAGCCAACTTGTTATCGATTGAATGTTTAGTATTTATATAGCTGATATATTCATTTTAGACAGGAGAATTCTGTTTTTATGTACTTTGTATGTATTTTGTGGTCTACCAGAATATCTTCTAAAAGGTGAGTACATTGTTTATTTGCACCTATTTTAATGGACTTAGCAAACAAACATTAACTGTTGTATCTTTGCTTTTAATAGCATACTTTGGGCTTAGCTTTGGTTGATTTGGTATATAGGACATTGATGGCAATATAAAACTCCATTCTAGGGCGCCTGGGTGGCTCAGTGGGTTAAGCCGCTGCCTTCGGCTCAGGTCATGATCTCAGGGTCCTGGGATCGAGTCCCACATCGGGCTCTCTGCTCAGCAAGAAGCCTGCTTCCTCCTCTCTCTCTCTCTCTGCCTGCCTCTCCGTCTACTTGTGATCTCTCTCTGTCAAATAAATAAATAAAATCTTAAAAAAAAAAAAAAAAAAAACTCCATTCTACCCTGTACATTATGACAGTTCTTTTATTGTCAGAGATGGCGGCCAAAGTCAGGAAAAGGGTACCTTCTGAAATCCAGTAAATGTTAATACATAAAATCTAAGAGTATTCTACTCATTTGTAGTACTAATCAGTATAAGAGATGATATAAGCCCAGAGTTTAAAACAAAAATACAGTATATTATATGAAATGTTGTTAGGTAACTATTTGTACTGGTATAACAAAAGGGGTAATTTGCATTGAATATAAAATATATCAAAAGAATAAGAATTTGCCTATATTTATACAGCACTGTGTGGAAGAGATACTGTCTCTCCTGGGCCCTAGAGGTGATAATAGGACTTTAATGATTTGGCTTTTTAGTTATCTTGATACTGAGTTAAAGGTTCAACAAATATTCTGTTGGTGAAAATATGTATTTCAGTGGTTAGTTAATAAATTGGTATTGCTATTATCAATTATGTTTTCAGTTTGATTAGCTTTAAGTGAATCTTTGAGAGTATGATCACTCCAGGGTGAAATGACAAAGTTGAACTTCTGGATTTATAATGCCAAGGGCTTAGACTAAGTATTGTCTATCTTACCAGTCCCTGAGCTTTTTTTTATTACTAATTCTAGCTCTGACATTTTTTTTTTTTTAAAGATTTTATTTATTTATTTGACAGACAGAGATCACAAGTAGGCAGAGAGGCAGGCATAGAGAGAGGGGGAAGCAGGCTCCCCGCCGAGCAGAGAGCCCGATGCGGGGCTCGATCCCAGGACCCTGAGATCATGACCTGAGCCGAAGGCAGAGGCTTTAACCCACTGAGCCACCCAGGCGCCCGCTCTGACAGTTTTTAATGATAGTATATTTTACAAAGTTTAATAAGATATACTTTATTATAATCCACTTAGTCACATAGCCAGTAATCAATAAGTATTGTTTGAATGAATAAATGAATTAATGATAACATGGTTTCAGGAGTACATTTTTAATGAAAAGTAGATTTTTATGTGTAAGATGATAAAGTGGTATTTAAAATATTTTAGTCCCTTATAGCTGCTTTGTGAAGTGATGCTCACTAGCCATATGTGGCTCTTTAGCACTTGAAATGTGGCTTGTCAAAATTGAATTGATATTAAGTGTAAGATACACATTGGCTTTCAAACACTTAGTATGAAAGAAAAAATGTAATATACCTCAATAACTTTTTGAATTTATTACATATTGAAATAGTATTTTGGTTATGTGAGACTAAGCTAAATATATAATTATAATTACTTCCTCATTCTTCTTACTAAATGTTTAGTATTAGTAGAAAATTTAAATTACACATGTGGCTTGCATTTGTGGCTTACATTACATTTTTTTGGATAGCACTAGCCTAAAGGTTTAATTTCTTTTTCTTTGGTAGAAACTGTATAGTGTTAGGAAAAAAGCCAAACCCTTTCCTGGGTATTTACAGATGTATGGTTTTATTTTGTTTTGTATTTTTGTCTCATTCCTATCAGATCACCAATTCAGGAGAGTTTGTGTTCCCATTAGATTCTCCACACAAAAAGCCTTATGAAGGTCTTATATTGGGGAGAGTTCGCGAAAAAACTGCTGTACCATTAAGGTAGGAAAGGTGATTTTTCAAAATTGTATAAATGTATGCATTTGTATATTTTATAATATTAATAGTACAGTATAGATCATTAACTTTCCTTAATTTTTACATTTTTGAAAATCTGGAAATGGCTCAGACCAGAAAAGTGTGAATGATATGGCACATGAAATTTTATATTATCTTTTGTTTTATCTAGTGTATAACTGTCATTATATTGAAGAAAAGGAAATTTTCAGTAATGTCTCAGTACTTAAATTGCTTATTTCCATTATTGCTTCTATTCTTGAGTTTATTTTTAAATTCAGATTCTGGAAAAGAATCAAGGCAACTATGGCTTATGTATGAAAAATTGTCCTTAAAATATAATTTATTTTGTTGTTTTGTTTTAATTAGGAATGAAGATGTAAAAGTACTTCCCATTCCAGATCACAAGTTAATTGTCAGTGTGCCCTGTACTCTTCATTCCCATAAGCCACCTCTTGCTGGTATGTTTTTATAAAATAGAATTTTTATGACATCTGCAAGTTGAAAAAAGAATTGAATTTATTATTTGAGTGGTGTAGAGATTTGGAAACTAAATGGATGTTTTATTTTCATTAATATTGTAAAATTCATTTGTGAATAGTACTTTTATTTTTTTTATTACAAAATAGTACTTTTTATGTGTTTGTACAAAATAGTACTTTTTATTTGTTTTGTTACAAAAGCTTTATTGTTTTCATTTGGTCCATGACTTGGGAGATGGCTCTATGATGGTTAAAGGGCTGGCTAGTGGCTGCAGGGAGAGGCACAGGCAGAAGCTCTGATATCAGGGGGATGTGGAGGTGCCCCTCAAAGGCTGCTGGGCTCTGGAAGCTTCTAGTTGTGCTTGAGGGTGAGCCTTTTGAAGAGATACTTGACTGGCCCAGCCCAGCCTTGGGCCAGCCACCAGGCAACCTGTGGAGGATAGTAAGGTGGTCACCCAAGTTTTTGATGAGTTTTGCCTCCTCATCTGGAAGTGGCTCTCCAGGAAGTCCCACAGATGGGGATTTGTGTGGGTAGAACCCAGAGCATGCATATCTAGAAGAGCCTGGTTCAGGTTCTTCTTCAGGGCCATGCAGCTTCCATGGCATTCATGGCTTTGCCTCACTCATCTTGGGAGGGCTTCTTCATGTTTTGAAAAAAGGTGTGGCTGTTGCACTCGTTTTGCATCTTCCAAGAGATGCCTGGCCAGCTTGAGGTAGAAGTGCCTAGGCCTTCTGGAGTCACATTGTTACAATCCAAATAGAAGCCCTGAGAGGTGAAGGAAGTCTGCAAATTCAGGTTGACCAGACAGTTCACAGGGGCCTCCACCTTGGGAGGATAATTCTGAGGAATCTAGGAGCTCATCGTTGGTCAGCAATAAGGAGCTAACCACAAGAAATGAGGTGGGCTGGTCTTGGAAGTCGTTGCTGGAAAGGAGATTGGAAGGTGGTTGGAGAGTAGTCAGAGACTGGAAGAAGGGGGTCTCTGGGTCTGTTCCATCCAAAGACTGTTGAACAAGATTGTTGAACAGTTGAAACAAGAGGTAGGTTTGTGGGATTGCCAGCTGCGCTGTGTAGATTAGTTTCATTTCACTTTTGCTTTTCCTTTTATACCAATTTTTTAGGTTCCCCTTATTATATTGGTTGTTACTCCCTCACTGTCCTTGATAGACTGAAGACTGATGGGGCATCTAAGGACTGTAGTTCTACTAGGGGCTTTATTTCACTCTATCCCTTGCTTGTTCTGAGACCAGGAGCTCAGAATAACAGTCAGAGAGAGATAGTTAGAATCTCCTTGATACTTGGTAGATATTCAGTTTTATGTTGAGGTAGTGTTGCTTTTCTGAGTGATTGGAAAGGTAATTGCTGCAGCCTAGAATTCTTACTAGCCTTAGTGCTTTAACATAATGTTCATTATTTAGTGAAACTAAGCAGCAAGGAATAATGGAAAGTTTTGGCTTTGGAGATTGACTAACATGGGTTTGAATCCTGGCTCTGCTACTTTATGAGTTACTCTAACAATTTTTTACCTCAAAGTCCTCATTTAAAGAGAGACTAATGGTATTTGATTTTTTTAGAGTTGTTTAATCTTTTTTTTTTTTTAAGATTTTATTTATTTATTTGTTAGAGAGAGAGAGAGCATGAGCACAGGCAGACAGAGTGGTAGGCAGAGGCAGAGGGAGAAGCAGGCTCCCCGCTGAGCAAGGAGCCTGATGTGGGACTCGATCCCAGGACGCTGGGATCATGACCTGACCGAAGGCAGCCGCTTAACCAACTGAGCCACCCAGGCGTCCCTAGAGTTGTTTAATCTTTTAGAGTTAAGATTGCTTATAATATATTTGAAATTGTATAGCATATAGTGGAAGCTCCGTAAATGCTAAATTTTTCAAGTACGAGTTTAAAGAAATAGGAATGTAGGGGCACCTGGGTGGCTCAGTGGCTTACGTGTTTGACTCTTGATTTTGGCTCAGATCATGATCCTCAGGGTCATGAGATCAAGCCCCCATCTCAGGCTTCTCATTGGGCATGGAGCATGCTTCAGATTCTCTCTCTCCCTTTCTCTGTGCCTTCCCCACCCCCAAATAGGAATGTAAATGACATACTCAATTTGTGATTGTTTCCTATTCAAAATTTTTTTTGAGGAATATCTTTTTTATTAATTTGGTGATTCTTGCTTAAAAAACCCAAAAATTTAAAGCTGCCACTCAGGAAAACTACAGGGTCCCCAGCCTATCTATTATTTTGTAGAATATGGGATAGTTCATGAGCTAGAATACATGGGAAAGTGAATACAGATTCCCAAGGTAATTTTTATTGATTGCGCTTAGGATTTCTGTTATCTTAAATTGCTTACGTGGAAGAGTTTGTAGTGTTACTTCATTTGAGAAATATTCAGATGTGTACCTGATGATCCATTCTTTGACTTAGAGGCATGCTGAGTGAATAATCATCTTTAAGCTTTGTACTGTCATAGACTGTTCATTGCATTAAATATTAGTGACTTAAATGAGAAGTGAGATTGCACTGTTCTTTGAGAAAAAAATCATGTTTGGTACATTATTCAATGTACCAAAACAGTATTCAGTGGAGGGAATCTAATTTGTATTCTTCTCATTTGAATTTTCTTTATCATTCAGTGAGTATCAAAGCATAATTTAGTATTTGTCTTAGGGCTTATTTTTTTACTTTTAAAAATCTAAAAGCTAAGACCCAACCTTTCATTCTCAAATTACAGTTAAACTGTTTATAAATTATTTTTAAATAGGATAAAATTATGTTTAAAGATTAATCTAAGAAACAGGGTTTTAAAATAGTAGGTAAAAATTAGTCTTTTATTAATTCTAAAAAAATTAGTCTTGACATCCCGTATCTATGAAGTGCAGTTCTGCCATATGCCCAGTAGAGGGCAGCACAAATGTAGTTAACATTTTAAAAATATTACTCCTTTACTTTCTATTTTTCTCAAACAGAAAGGAAAAAAAAACAATGCAGGAATGAGTTACATGTAGAAAGTAGGAGGTAGTAAATGAGTTTCAGTTTTATGTACTATAGTTGTCAATTCCCAAGTGCCTGGCCATCTTTTTCTACTAGATTGTGTACTCTTTTTTTTTTTTTTAATTTATTTATTTGACAGACAGAGATCACAAGTAGTCGGAGAGGCAGGCAGAGAGAGAGGAGGAAGCAGGCTCCCCGCTGAGCAGAGAGCCCGATATGGGGCTCGACTCCAGGACTCTGAGATCATGACCCGAGCCGAACGCAGAGGCTTAATCCACTGAGCCACACAGGTGCCCCTAGATTGTGTACTCTTAGGAAACATGGGTATCTGTTTCCTTTGGTAAGTTCCATAGCACTGATTATAGTGGCTGTTCAGAATAGTAAACATTTTTGACTGGCTGACTCCTGCCCATTTAGACTTCAGGTTATGGTTCCAGAATAGAGTTGCTAATGTATTATACCAAAACACTGAACAAACAGGCAAACACACAAAACCTTGCTTCAGTATAACCTTAGACCACATTAAAAGTGAATTGAGGTTGGTAAGGCATTGAATTCATGGAGAAAAAAATGGAGAAGTAATATAAGTTTATTGTCCTCTAAGGCTCTGGGGAAATCTTTCTCTTTCAGGTTTAATAATTTTTAATTATACACTTATGAAAGGACTAGGACTCTCACGTTAGCATCTCCTAAAAGCTATTGAAGCCCAAATTTGACTGCACTTGGATTATAGACAATGAATGCTTTAAATTCTTTGATTTTTGATAAACAGGACCAATATTTTTATAAACAGTTATTTTTCTGTGAGAGTGATTGGAGAACATTATGAACATAAAATTTTATATACTTTTTATTTTAAACTTTATCTATGTCAAGTACTCCTAAGAAATACTTACTGTTCCTAAAGGGAATTTGATAAATTTCTTCTAAGCTCAATCTTGTATGGTAATTAAGAACTACATTTAAAAAATGCTCTTCTAGGACTCTTCATCCCTAAATTGTTATTTTCATGCCCACTTCATGTAATGGTTAATGTAGCTAACCAGCAACAATCAAAGTTAAATTGATTTAAATATTTGCAATCCAAATGAACATGTGCTTTAAAAAAAAGCTTCTATGGTATTTTCTTTCTGTTACTGTGTATCATAGCATTTAATCAACATATGTTTGAGGTTCCTTTTTCCTGATAAAATATAATTTTTAGTAGTTATTAATACATTGCATAAGGACTACTTACTTGTGGAAATATATGGTGAAATTTTAGGTAAAAAGGATCTATAATTTGGGAATGATGGAATGTGCTACCAAGTTATAGCTATGAAAGTGTTTTATTTGTTAGTTATATGTGTTCACTATTTTTATCGGTATCCAGTTCTTCATTTACTGCTCTTTCACTAATATATTGCTAGCATAGCATTATATTTTATCTCAGTTTTTTAAAGTGGGTTATTTTTGTGTTGTTCCTATATACTTCTTTTTCACACACAGATTACATTTATTAAAAAATAAAGTTAGTATTCAGCAGATATATCAGCAGTATTGGAAAACTGAAAAGTCACCTGTGAGGGTGTTGAAATTCTTTTTTCTCATCCACAAGTGAAAACTGATAAATCAGGACTCCTGAAATTTCTGATACTGTGTTTCCAATCTCAGGAATGCTTATTTCAAATGATTTCTAACTATAAATAACAAAGCCCATGATGAAATCCTTGAAATTAATTAGCTGTCTCCCCACATTTTTTTAAGGAAATCTTCTTGTTTTTCTGCTTTAAAATGCTAAGAGGAAATTGATTCCTTTCTTAATAATAATTTTTGTGTTTTTTCTCTTTTTTGGACAGAGGTTCTAAAAGACTATGTCAAGCCAGATGGGGAATATTTGGAATTGTTTGCTCGAAATTTACAGCCAGGTTGGACTAGTTGGGGCAATGAAGTTCTCAAATTTCAACACATGGATTATTTTGTTGCTCTGCAGTCTAGAAGCTGACTCTGATCTTAAAGTTGTGATTTTCTTCAGTTTTCCTTACCCCTTTTTCCCTCATTCTAATGGATATTTCGCTTTCTTACCAACCAGTATGCTTAGAAATATAAATAGGACTTGGTTTCTGTGCAGAAGACCAGAAGTGACTAGTCTTTATGTAATTTTGAGATGAATTTACTTCAGTCACACCAGTATTCCCCATTATTCCAGGTTCACTGCAAATAAAGAGGTAAGCAGTTAGAAAAATGACAAGACTTTGTTATCAAAAAAGTTCGGAAAGCATGCACTGTGGACCAGAGGTCATAATTCTGTCTATAGATGTGTTTTATTTGGCTCATATGGTGTTGTAAAAGAAATTTGAACCATCATTCCGAAAAATTGGGAAATTTCACATAAAGTGTAGATTTTTGCTTTACTTTAAACATCAGAAGCTCTGGCTGCACTGCAGTCTGTATTCTTTCTGGGCATCAGTCAGTAGGACCCAGTGGTTGCAGCTCACTTGGGAAGGGACATGGGCTCTGCAGTTTACCACAGTAACACTTGCTCCGTGCCACTCGCTTGTGTTGTCTACTTGGCCTCTGTGCAACCCAAATTTCTGACTTCTGGTATACTGTTACATTCTGGAAAAATATTGAGAGACCTACCAAGTACCTCATCATTGTACTGAGCTTATCTTTATGGAGGGTTTTAAATTGCATTCAAGATCACTCTTCAAGTACTTCTTAGTTTTGCTTGTTTTTTTTTAGAAGATTTAAAAAGTATTTCTTATAATAATGTCAGAAGATAACACTGCTTATCATTTGAAAGATATTTATATTATTTACAGATTTCCATAAATATTTTTTTACTAAATAAAATACTTTTTACTGAAATTATTTGAAAAGCATGCTGATTTATTGTGTATAAGCTTTTTTAAAATTGAGATACAATTTCACATAAACTTCTCCAATTTTTACTATAGGGTTCAGTGAGTTTAGAAAACATATGTATGGTTGTCTGTCTACCACCATATTCATGATATAGAACATTTTCTTCACCCCCAAAACTCATGTGTCTAATTTTAGTCAGTCTCTTCCTCCCACCCCTGGCCTTTGGTGAAGAATGATTTGTTTTCTATTATTAGTTTTGCTTTTTTAGAATTTTATATAAACAATCATAGAATATGTAACTTATTGTATCTGGCTTCTTTCACTTAGCATTTTGACAAAAGTATTTATATAATTTACAGCTTTTCTACAAATAGTTATCTGCTAAATAAAATGTTAGATTGAAATGGTTATATGACAGGGTTGCCAGTATGTTTACTGATTTTGCCAATGAAAGATGTTATTTTTCAAGTTTGTTCATTCTTTGAGTGTGTGAATATAGTATTATAGGCTTAACTTTATATTTATAAGGATATTCTAACTTGTTACTGAAATGGAAAAAAAAGGTTTTAAGCATGAAGCAAACATCTCACAACCTCATTTGAAACTCTTTCCAGCTCTTGTAGTATTTATAGATTTTATATAATTTATGGAAACATTTTATCCTCACCAAGGTTTTGGATCTTTATTGTTGCACCACAAGTACTGATACTTGAGGGAAAAAGAGAGAGGATTTTTATTCACTGAATGTGGTATTCAAGACACAGAGGTTTTTTTTTTTTGTTTTTTGTTTTTTTTTTAGTTTAAGTTGTAATCTTAGCTCTGTTCCTAAATTATACAACCTGTGGGCCTTGTTTGTAATGACTGTTTAATTATTCAGCTCTTTTTTGAACAAAGGATGGTTCTGGAAAATGGAATAATCACATACCTTGTGAGAACAGAAAGGCCAGAGTAAGAGCATTGAACTTTGTTTGACTTCATTATCAGAGTTGTAGCCAACTGACCTAATGAACTTTATTATTTGTTTAATGTTTTAAGATATCTTCATTCAGAGATTTTTTAAAAAAGATTTTATTTATTTATTTGACAGAGAGAGAGTGAGAGAGGGAACATAAGCAGGAGGAGTGGGAGAGGGAGAAGCAGGTTTTCCGCTGAGCAGGGAGCCCCATGCAGGGCTGGATCCCCGGACCCTGGGATCATGACCTGAGCAGAAGGCAGAGGCTTAAATGACTGAGCCGTCCAGGTGCCCCTCATTCAGAGATTTTTTATTGCTTTTAAAACCTGTAAGGATTTTATTTTCTGTCTTATTCTTTTTACAGACTCAAAGTCTTTTAGGACTCTTAGAAATGCTTAGCCAAAGGGATAGAGCTAATGTTTGTTCAATAGTGTGTGTTACTCTTTGCTATGCTTTTTACATTTTATTGCATTTAATCCTTGTACAGTCCTGAGAGATATTATTTCCATTTAATAGTCAAGAAAACTGAGGCAAAGGAGACTATTTTGTCCTAAAACCTTAGTAAGTATTAGAACTAGGATTAGAATGCATAGCTCCCTGACTTCTGAGCCCTAGAGTTTTGTTTGATTTGGACTTACCTGGAGGCCATGCAATCACAGTTGGCATCCTGAGCAACCACACAAAAAGCCATTTCACCCACACATAGTTAACAGTGGACACCACACTCAAGAAACTTTGGGGAATCTTGCCTCAGAAGATTGTATCCTTAAAATTCATGGCCTTTCTTTTGACATTCTTTCACCTTCCTGTTCAGGGTCCATTAGAGTAAAATCACAGAGCATGTAACTACTTTTTTGGGAGCAGATCCTCTTTAACTGGGCCCTTTCTGTCTTCCTTTCTCAGAAATGGGAAATAATAATACTTGTTTCTGAAGTTGTTATGAGGATTAAATGAGTTAACACATGTAAGGTATTTGGAATATTTTAAGCAATTAGTGTATGAGCTCTTCACATATTTTTTAGTTTCAGGTCAAAAAGCTTTTCTTAAACAATCTGTATTCCAATTCAGGGCATTCACCTGAATACTGCCCATGGAGTTTTTCTGTCTAAACATCATATTTTCTTGATCTTTTTCTTGAGATCAGATTTCCTAGCTTACACCTGGTTTCATACATGAGGAAGCTTTGAAACCCATCATTTCCATTGTGGTCTTGCCTAGAAACAAGTAATTGAAAATTAAAACAAAGGCCCCATGTAGCTTTTGGGCTTCAGCTCGTGTCTCTGAACTTCATAGTTACTGTACATTGTTCTTTGATGACTTCCATAGGTGGTTAATTGGTGGCCTTTCTCATATTTCTTCTATATTCAGAAACTTTAATTTTGGTTCAAAATAGATCTGTTACACTTGCAGGACCTTGATTTTTATGTGCACCAGCTGTGGACTGAACATTTGTACCCTCCTAAAATTCACATGCTGAAACTCTAACCCTCAATGTGATAATATTTAGGGGTGGGGCCTTTGGGAGGCAATTAGGGTCAGATTAGGTTGTCAGCGTGGGGCCCTCATGATAGGATTAATTAGCCTTATAAAAAGAAACATGGGATCTCAGTCTCTGGATGCAAGCACCAACAAAAGGTCAGATGAGGACATAACCAGGAAGATGGCTTACAGGGAACCTGACCATGCTGACACCTGATCTTGAACTTTGAACCTCCTGAACCCCAAAGAATAAATGTTGATGGTAATTTTTATAGTAGCCTGGGACTGACTGAGACAGCCTTCAAAGGGATTTTCTTGTTGATAAGATACCTACCAAGTAAATAAGGCCCCAAAGAATAAATGTTGATGGTAATTTTTATAGTAGCCTGGAACTGACTGAGACAGCCATCAAAGGGATTTTCTTGTTGATAAGATACCTACCAAGTAAATAAGGCCTTTTTCTTTGGATGGTCTGAAAGTGAGAATAGGTTTTCTTCTTGGATGTCAACATTTGAGCTGCCTCAAAAAAGCCAGTGTCACTGTGGGCTGGTTGTCTTCTTGAAGGAGGACAGAGACATTAGTCCATGACTCAGGTCTGGGCCTTGCCTCAACTGCTACCTTGCTCTCTCCTTGCTGTAGGCTGTATTTACCTTGTCCTATTCTAGTCCTCCAAGTTCTATGACTCAAACTCTTTCTTATTAGAACACCAAATTCACCTTTTCAGGTTTGGTACCTCAGAGACATATCTTTAGTGAATTTTTATATTTCAGCTTCAGTGAGACTTTGGGTTTTCCACTGATAGTGATTCAGAGGAAGATTATAATCACATTAAAGGGCCTTCCCTTCCCTGAAGATGCTCATCAGTTCACCTCATTTGACTCATTCACCACTGGCCTACCACACCCTGGGAAGCACCACAGGCCCATTGGCATAGTTCTCTGGTTATCAGAGTGCTTTTACTTCAATTATGTCATTTTACCCTCAAAGCAGTTTTATGAAGTTGTAGTTATAATGAGAGAACAAGTTCATAGAGGCTAGCTGACATAGGTAATAAGTGATAACCAGGACTTGAATTCTGATTCCTAAATTAAGGCACTTTATGTTGTATAATGTTTGTTAATGAACTTGAGATCTTACTAATAGGCTCATTAGCTGTTAATGAGAGGATCCATTGGGTAGCCTGAAGCAAATTTAGAATGGTTCGTATATAATCATCCAAACATACCTTTCTCAATATATGATATCATATATGATGTATCTATCTATCTATTGATATAGGATATCAATATATGATAAGTTATTAACACACTAGTTTTCATTAAAGATTTTAGTGACATTGATTGAACTGATAGCCACAGTGCCATTCAGAACCACTCAGAATCAGTTAGGCTGTAAAACCCTTTGACATAAGTTATTAGCATATTTACTATGCAGTTCTGTGTTCCTCAATTAGCCATTTGCAGTTCACATTTTTAAGGAAACTTATGCAAAAATACAGATTTGGATTTGAAGATGGCTATTCAAGTAGTAAGAAAGGAGAGATTAAGTAAGTTAAGTGTAGGTGCAAATTATTTTATGTACCATGGTGAACTGTTAGCAGTGTTTGGATGTATGGACCAGTCCAGAACTACACAGATGGTCTTAATTCCTGGTTCTATTAACTAGTCCAGCTTGAAAGCAAGTCAGATTACCATGGTAACTCCACAATCAGCCTTTTCCCTTAAATATTCCTAAGAGTTAACCTAAGTCTTCTGGGACTTCTGTGAACTTGAGGGGAACTTCTTGGTCTTTTTCAGTAGCAGTCGAAGATCTTGGGACCATATAAAAACAAATTGATCTCTAGGGTTGGAGAACATGAGGAAACTATTTTTTCATTTACTTTCTCTGATAGGGCTTTGGCCCAATTACTAGATAACTGTGACACAACAATGGGATAACTTTGGATGACAACTAGGGCAAATGAATAGTCACTTACTCTCAACAGTGTTAAATCATTTTTGGGCAGTATCTTTAAGGAAAAACACAAGGCACCCAGCTGATTTTTAGCTGCTTCTCCCCAAATTGCCCACACAGATCCCGATTATTAGTCAAACTAGACTGTTCTTTGTTATTTGACTTTAGGACTCTGTGCTATTGCTTATGACTCTTCCTCAGTTGGGAAAAAACTAGGCTGTGGGATCAGTTGGATCTATATTTTGAATCTTGATATTCATCTTCTGAGTGACTGAATAATTATTTAAACTATGCCTTCCTGTTTTCTGAGGAATAAGTAGGCTAATCTTTGGGCTTTGTAAGATTATTATGAAGATGAAGTGAAATAATGTATATGAAGTTGCCTAGCATAGGACCTGGTACTTAGAAGTTATTCAATATATATGCTTATTTCTCTTTATTTACAATCTTCCTGACAACATGTCTTAACTTCATGATCCACTTTTCCCATCCCCTAAAAGAAGGCTTTTATTCTTGCTCTGAGAGCCGCTTTTCACATGTGTGGATTATCCAGATAGGTTTTCCCTCACATTTATCACGGAAAGAGAAAAGTGGTTAATTCTTTAGGTAGCTCACTGAAAAAAAAAAAAGGCTTTTTATCCTCTGGAACACCTTATGAGAGGAGTACAGTCTTTTATTTATGTTTCTCCT